GAGTTGAAGTCCACCTATCTTTAAGTTGCAGAGATCGAGAATTCTGGGAGTTGAAATCCATCCATCTTACAATTGCTGAAGTTAAGGATTCTGGGAGCTGAAGTCCGCCCATCTTAAATTTGCCAACGTTGAGGATTCTGGGAATTGAAGTCTACAGAGATCGAGAATTCTGGGAGTCGAAATCCATCCATCTTAAAATTGCTGAAGTTGAGGATTCTGGGAATTGAAGTCTACCTATCTTAAAGTTGCAGCGATTGAGAATTTCTGGGAGTTGAAATCCATCCATCTTACGATTGCTGAAGTTGAGGATTCTGGGAGCTGAAGTCCATCCATCTTAAAATTGCCAAAGTTGAGGATTCTGGGAGCTGAAGTCCGCCCATCTTAAAGTTGCCAAAGTTGAGGATTCTGGGAATTGAAGTCTACAGAGATTGAGAATTCTGGGAGTTGAAATCCATCCATCTTAAAATTGCTGAAGTTGAGGATTCTGGGAATTGAAGTCTACCTATCTTAAAGTTGCAGCGATTGAGAATTTCTGGGAGCTGAAGTCCACCCATCTTAAAATGGCTAAAGTTAAGGATTCTGGGAGTTGAAGTCTACCTATCTTAAAGTGGCGGAGATTGAGAATTCTGGGAGCTGAAGTCCACTCATCTTAAAGTTGCCACAGTTGAGGATTCTGGGAGTTGAAGTCCACCCATCTTAAAATTGCAGAGATTAAGAATACTGGGAGTTGAAATGCTTTGCTTGCGCACACGCATGGCCCCACTGCAAACCGGTAGTAAAGGTAAGTAGAACCCACGCCTGTCTGGCACGCGTGCCGGAAGTGGCACGCAGAGTCATCTCTCTGGGCATCTCTCCATCGCTCGTTGCTCTTCTGAGTTCCGGGGTGCCGGCCAGCTGGTCTTCACACAAGCAGGAGTGCCAGAAACCGGAAGCACATGCACGCGTGCCGCGAAGATGATCTTCCAGTTTCCAGCGCACACATGCGTGCCGGCCACCTCGTCTTCACACATGCATGCATGCCAGAAACTGGAAGGCCAGGTATGCATGTGCGCGCCAGAAACCGGAAAATCATCTTCCTGGCGTGCTCCTCTTTTGGTTTCTCGCGCACACTCCCGTTTCGGCACTTGGTGCCGAAAAGGTTTGCCAACCCTAGTCTAGGGTTTCCTGTTTGAGCAGGGGGTTGGACTAAATGACCTCCAAGGTCCTTTCCAAAGTGTGTTATTCTGTATTCAGTCACGGATTGAGGGAGAAGCTGGCTGAGTCCTCCTAGGTCCTTTCCTCCTAGGTGAATCACCAAAATCCTATAGGCCTGTGTCATATCCTGCCGGATCTTAAAGAAAGAGTTTTCATTAACCCTTTCAGAAGGGTTCAAAAGTAAATCCAGGAGAGTTTGGATCATGGGGGTGGGATGTGAGTGAGGGGTAAATTAGCCTTTTCGGCAGGTGGTAGAAAAGCTAATGCAGCCCCTTCCCTCCCCTTCCCCATTCAATGCAACCAGGAACAGAAAGTTCAAGCTTCTGTCGAAGATCCCAGTTCTGGATCTTTTTTCTTTTGACCCAGCCTCAGTTTTCCCCATCTGTATAATGGGAGCAAAGCAGGGGTGAAATCCAGCAGGTTCTGAGAACCGGTAGCGGAACTTTGAGCAGTTTGGAGAACCGGCAAATACCACCTCTGGCTGGCCCCAGGGTGGGCTGGGAATGGAGATTTTGCAGTATCCTTCCCCCAGGAGTGGGGAGGGAATGGGGATTTTGCAGTATCCTTCCCCTGCCACGCCCACTAAGCCACACCACGCCCACCAAGCCACGCCTACAGAACCGGTAGTAAAAAAAAAAAAATTGGATTTCACCACTGGAGCAAAGTCGGCAGTTCCATTTCGGAGTATAGCCTGGGTAAAGAACTGATTGTGAATTAGCTAAAGGCTGTATTTTATTTTATTTTTTAATAAAATGAGATTTCTCCCCTTCAAGTTTTTTTTTTTTTTTGGAAAAAGTGGTTTCCCCTTGTGAGAACAAACATCTCAACAGTCCTGGGGGTGAAACTGAAAAAAAAAAAAACTTTTATAAGAAAATCTCCCTTTTTCCACCTCAAATAAATTTTAGAGAAGGGGATGCCCCCCTCTCCCCTTAAACTAACTTTTCTTATTGCAAGGATGGGGGAACTTGTCCCATCGTCCACAACCATCCTGTCAGGGGCTGATGGGTGCTGGAGTCCCACCGCTTCCGAAGGACCCATGGTTCTCTCCTTTCTTTAAAATGCAATTTTATTTTTATTACAAAGTCCTGGGAAGGTACGTTGCTTTCTGTTTCTCCTTCTTCTTTCTGAAGCGGTTTCTTTTTGAAACGGCTTTCTATTCCTCATTCAAGCCGGCAGCCCTCTCAAAAACTGAATTAAAATCTCTCTTAAAAATAAAAATCAACAGAAGGTTAACAGCTCACACACCTCATTCAGATTGGGTGTGTGTGTGTGTGTGAAACCCCTTCCTGAGCTTGAAGAATAGAAAGTACCGTATCTTGATCTAGCCACCCTGAGTCTCCGGAGAAAGGCGGCATATAAATTGAATTAATAAATTTAATCGAAATGGGGGGGGAAACAAGCCCAAATCACCGAATAACAAGAGTTGGAAGGGACTTTGGAGGTCTTCTAGTCCAACCCTCTGCTCAGGGAGGAGACCCTATACCATTTCAGACAAATGGTTCTCCAGTCTCTTTTTGAAAGCCTCCAATGACGGAGCCCCCACAACGTCTAGTGGCCAGCAGTTCCACTGATTCATTCTTCTCCCAGTCAGGAAATGCCTTCCTTATTTCTACGTTTCTTCTCTCCTTGATTCATTTCCATCCGTTGCTTCTCGTCCTGCCTTCAGGTGCCTTATTATTATTATTATTGTTGTTGTTGTTGTTGTTTATATTTATATACCGCCCTTCTCCCAAAGGACTCAAGGCAGTGAACAGCCAACAGATAAAACACAAGAAATACAAAATTTAAAAACAGTATTAAAATCCAATTAAATTAATTTGGCCCACAATTAAAACAAGTTGCTTTAGAAAACAAGTTGACACCTCCTCCTTCTTCTTTGGGGGCAGCCCCTCAAATATTCAAACCCTGCTATTTTGTCACCCCCTCTAGCCTCCTTTTTTCATTAGCCAAGCCATGCTTAAATCCAGGTTGGAAGCAAAGCGACCAAAAGAAATAGAAATAAAATAGCTTGAGCGAAGCTGTGCTCCAATGTGAATTTGGGGTGGGACAGGTGAGTGATTATTTATTTATATATAGAGAAAAAAAAAACCCTGACTACAAAAATATCATACATTTGAGCCTATGAATTAAAAAGAATATATATATATATATATATATATATATATATATATATAAATATATATATATATATATATATAAATATATATATATATATATATATATATATATATATATATATATATATATATATATATATATATATATATGTATGTTCGGTTTGATAATTAAATAAATAAATAAATAAATAAATAAATAAATAAATAAATGGGGGGGGACAGGTGAGTGATTAGACCCTTGATCCGCGAATAAATCCTCGATTTTTAAGGAAGGGGGGAAACCTGAAAGCAGGTTTGCCCCAATTTTCTTTTCTTTTCTTTTCTTTTCTTTTTTCTTCTTCAATGAAACTGGAATCAGGACGTTTCGCTTTAGGATTGCAAGCTGGCTGAATTCCCACTGGGGAAAAGTTAGGGGATTTCCCCCGTTTCGGTGCCTGGGGGGGGCGGTGATCTGAGTCACCGGCGTTAAGAATGCACGAAGGCCATTTGGATGAGACAAATAAGGTTGACACGTGCCCAGAATGAACGAGAGGAAGGTTGGGGGGGGGGGAAGGGTCGTCGGAGAAAGTTGTTACCCCACCCATCACTTCCTTTATTCCCAAACCCACCTGCCCCCACCCCCATTAAGCTGTTTTTTGATGTTGTTTTTTTTCCCCAACCCAGGAACCGAGTTCCACTACAGGTAAATTAGTCCTCGATTTATGACCACAACTGAGATTACAACCCCCCCCCCAAATTTCTGTCTTCTAAGCCAAACGGTTCTCAAGCAAGGTTTTGGTCCTGTTTTTACGACCTTTTTTGGGGGGGGCACCGCCGTTAAGCAGATCGCTATGGTCGTTAAATGAGTCACCCCCGTTGGGAAGCGAGTCCGGCTTCCCCAAGGTCGTAAAAGGGGATCGCGCGACCCCCCACCCCCTCCGTTCGAGACACCGAAACCGTTCATAAAATACGAGTCCCTTGCCGAGCATTTGAATTTTGATCACTGGGGAAATGTGGCCACGGTCATAAGTGTGAAACATCACTGTTTTTCAGGGCGGTTGCACCTTTGAACGGTCACTAAACGAGCCGTTGTAAGTCGGGAAACTACCTGTACTTTCCCAGAGGGCTCTTTTGGGCCAGAAGAGCAGCCTCTGGGCATGTGCAGAGTGTAAAGACCACTCAAAAGTCTCTTCCCCCAGCCCCTCTCCTCTAAGCCCCCCCCAAAAAACGTTCAGTTTTTGCACCCCCCACCCCAAAAAACACGGGTGGGGTCGCAGGTGGCCAAGCCCGCACGTGGGAAGCCGGCACGTGAAGGGGAATCCTTCAGCCTGGCGCGCCAAACAGGAAGAAACCAGCCCATTTAAGGGCATCTGCGTCATCGTCTCGTGATTCAAGGTTCGGGAGAAACCAACTGCGTCCGCTCGTAGGGGGGGACGCGGGTTGGGGGAAACCCTTCGGATTTCCCTCGGGGGGTCGTGGGAAGGCGCGGACGAGCGGGTTGGATTTAAAATCGTTTTTTTCCCTCCCACGGGCCGCTCGGGCCGGGGTTCCCCCACCCGGATGGCGGGTGGGAAAGTCGAAGTCCCTCCGTCGGCCTCCCCTCCCCTGGGAGAAAAGTGGAACAGCCCGTGCCGGGAGTCCCCATTCATAAAAAAAAAGGGCCAAGGTCGCCGCCGCTTTTGCCTCTTTCGGGCATCGGAGCGTCGGCGGAGGGCCTGAGCCCCGGCTAGACATGTTCAAGGGTTACGGAGGGGGAAGACCACCTCCGCCCGCAGCTCCGCGGCCAAGTTTACCCGCCTTGCCCTCCGCAGTCCGCCCGGGATCTCAGCAGCCAGTAAGTTCCCCCTTTTGCCTTCTCTCTCTCTCTTTTGAACTCTGCACATGCTCTCGGGACGGTTGTGGGTGGGGGGAGGAGAGGGAGAGTCTAAGACTTCGGGGTCCGGCTGGATTGCGCGGCGGCAAGGAGGTTTTTTTCCCCCCTGTTTCCTCTTTTGTGTTGAACTCTGTACATGCTCAGGGGGACCGACGCTAGATTTGGTAGTTTGCCCGGAATGAAAACAGCAAGGAAGTTTCGCTTTGACCCCCCCCCCACACACACACTTCTCTTTTGAACTCTGCACATGCTCTGGGAGGGAGGGGAGACTCTAGACTCCGCAAGTCCGGGTGGGATCGCGGCGGCAAGGAAGTTTCCCCTTTTCCCTCTTTCTTTTGTACTCTGCACATGCTCGGAGTGGGGAGGGGGAGTCTAGTCTAGACTCCGCAGTTTTCCCGGGATGGAAGCAACAAGGAAATTTCTCCCCATTCTCTCCTTCTCTGTCTCTTTCTCTTTCCTTCCCTCCTCTGTCTTTCATTCTCCTTCTTCTCCCTCTCTCTCTCTCCTCTCTCTTTCGCGCTCTCTCTCCTTCCCTCCTTCTGTCTGTCTTTCTCTCTCTCCTTCTCTGTCTCTCTCTCTGGTTCCCTCCTCTGTCTTTCATTCTCCTTCTCTCTCTCTCTTCTCTCTTTCGCTCTCTCCTTCCCTCCTCTGTCTTTCATTCTCCTTCTCTCTCTTCCCTCTCTCTTTCGCTTTCTCTCTCCTTCCCTCCTCTGTCTGTCTGTCTCTCTCCTTCTCTGTCTCTCTCTCTCCTTCCCTCCTGTCTTTCATTCTCCTTCTCTCTCTCTCCTCTCTCTTTCGCTCTCTCTCTCCTTCCCTCCTTCTGTCTGTCTCTCTCTCTCTTCCTTCTCTGTCTCTTTCTCTCCCCTTCTCTCTTTCCCTCTCTCTCTCTCACTCTGCACATGCTTTTGGAACTCTGGACTCCCCTTCTAGCCAGCTCCCGTTTCCAAAGAGTTCTTCCACAGGTCTTTTTGGGGTTGTCCTTCAACTCCCCCCCGTCTTCCGAGGACTAACATTGGGAAGAGACAAATAAACCGCTCTTTGTGTATGCTCAGAGGGATTTTGGGGGACTCAGGCAGGGGAACGCGGAGAAGATTGCACCTGGCTGCGAACGGGTCCCCCCCTTTTCGAGGGTCAAAAGAAAGTTGATGGGAATAAGTGAGACCCACGGCGTATAAATTTCATCACTACATAAAAGACTTTTTTTAAAAAATAAATAAATAAATCCACATTTTCGGAGCGTGCTGTCTGGCAGCCTCTCCAGATCGGGATCTCCCCAAGGGATCGACCTAAAGCAAAGCAACCCCCGCCCCAAAAAAGTGAATTTTGGAATATTTCTGAAATCAGGGGGGGGGGGGAAGCCAAAATGGGTGAAACTGAAACTGTCAAAAGAAAGGAGTCAAAATTGAATTTTTCAACGGGTCTTGAAAGTTGACCCTAGTAATGGGAATCCAGCTGTCGATCAAACACGTGTCTGTTCCTTAATGCTGGACTCAGATGTCGTGGGGAAGGGTCTCCACCCCCTTTTATCCACTGTAAGAAAGGGGGAAGGGGTAGAATTTGGAATTTGAGATTATTTGAGATTTTAAATTTGAGAGACGATCAAGGGAGGTTTCTACCTTTGGGACAGGGTGTGTCAAAATCCAGTTTAAGGTAGTGGGGTGGGGGGCATTGATCTAGGAAAGATTTGCTGGCTGATCTGGGGGTTCAGCCAATCAAGACTGGTGGGAATGTCAAACCAAGGTTTGCAAAGGGAGTTATTTCCTTCCTACAATGGCATGGAGGAGGGTGCCAGCTTTTCAATGCCACCAAGGATTGGCCCAGTGAATATTTTCAATATTTTAAATACTTTCAATATTTTCAATGCTTTCAATATTTTCAATATTTAAGCGTCTTCCAACACTAAATTGATCCGGTATTTCTCAACCTTGGGGGCTGGCTATCAACTTGGGTGGACTTCAACTCCCAGAATTCCCCCCCACAGCCAGCATGTGGAATTCTGGGAGTTGAAGTCCACTCATCTGAAAGCTGTCACTTGGAGAAAAACTTGAAATTGACCATAGGATTCCATGAAACATTCAATGGCCTTTCCTATTTTGTGGCTTGCTGGTAGAAAAGTCGGTGGTTCGAATCCCTAGTACAGGTCACCTTCGTGAGCAGGGGGTTGGACTAGATGACCTCCAAAGTCCCTTCCAACTCTGTTACTGTTAGAGCACTCCCTGCCCTTTGGTGGTTTTTTTTTCTCCTAGTATCCACTGCTCCTAGCAATGGAGGTTCTCCTAACCTGACCCACGCCCCTCCCGTGCCCCCATCTCGGCTGCTCCTGGGACTTCTAGTGGCAGGGAGTTCCCCGGGCTCGAAGGCTTATTTCCTTTCAGACCTGGTTTTGCAGGGCAATGGTGCTTTTCTTGCAGCCGAGATTTTGTCTGCCTGCATTTGTAAGGAGGGGGGGGGAAATCCTCCTTTTAGCAATAACCATGCTGAGTAATGATTTTTTTTTTTAAATTTTCCAGACTTAGGAAAAAGGAGAGGGGGGGGGCATTTAAAAAGGTTGTTTTCTCACACACCCCGTCCCCCAAATACCTGAGTCATCTGCTTCGGGCACCGAGGTTTGATTCCTTGTCTCGATGAAGGGCAGGTCATTCTTTGTGCTGTGTCATAAGTGTGAGTCATGTCCAGATTTGTCAGAATGGAGTCACCCGTTCTGCAGACAGAGCGTTAAAAGTTGGCCACGCCCTTCTGGGACCCAGTTTCCAAGTGCCTGGGAAGGGTTTTTTTTTCCTCTCACCCTTTTTCCTGGCATGTGAAATCTGCCCTCCCCACTTTCCCCCACCCCCCAGGGATGGGTACCTGGGCCTGCCCGAGCAGGCCTACCTCGCAAGGGGATTGGGTTCCCAGCTCTTTGAAATCTGCCATTCGCTTGGCAGGAGCTAAGGAAAGCTTGGATGAATTTTTCTTTTCTTTTCTTTTTTCTTTTTTTTAAAATTCATTCTCATTTTCCTTTGATCTGTCCTTGGAAGGCTGGTTTTAAAATGAAGCCGGGAAATGGTACTATAGGGATCTCCTGCTGAGGAAAGGGGTTGGACTAGAAGACCTCTAAGGTCCCTTCCAACTCTGTTATTCTATATTTTAACAGGGGGGCTGGACTAGAAGACCTCCAGGGTTCCTTCCAACTCTATCATTCTGTATTCTGTGAGGGGGGGTTGGACTAGAAGACCTCCAAGGCCCCTTCCAACTCTATCATTCTGTATTCTGTGAGGGAGAGGTTGGACTAGAAGACCTCCAAGGCCTCTTCCAACTCTGTCATTTTGTATTCTGTCGGGGGGGGGGGGGTTGGACTAGAAGACCTTTAAGGTTCCTTCCAACTCTATCATTCTGTATTCTGTGAGGGGGGTTGGACTAGAAGACCTCCAAGGCCCCTTCCAACTCTATCATTCTGTATTCTGTGAGGGGGGTTGGACTAGAAGACCTCCAAGACCCCTTCCAAATCTATCGTTCTGTATTCTGTGAGGGAGGGTTGGACTAGAAGAACTCCAAGGCCTCTTCCAACTCTGTCATTTTGTATTCTGTGAGGGAAGGGTTGGACTAGAAGACCTCCAAGGCCCCTTCCAACTCTATCATTCTGTATTCTGTGAGGGGGGTTGGACTACAAGAACTCCAAGGCCTCTTCCAACTCTGTCATTTTGTATTCTGTCGGGGGGGGTTGGACTAGAAGACCTTTAAGGTTCCTTCCAACTCTATCATTCTGTATTCTGTGAGGGGGGTTGGACTAGAACACCTCCAAGGCCCCTTCCAACTCTATCATTCTGTATTCTGTGAGGGGGGTTGGACTAGAAGACCTCCAAGGCCCCTTCCAAATCTATCGTTCTGTATTCTGTGAGGGAGGGTTGGACTAGAAGAACTCCAAGGCCTCTTCCAACTCTGTCATTTTGTATTCTGACGGGGGGGGTTGGACTAGAAGACCTCCAAGGCCCCTTCCAACTCTATCATTCTGTATTCTGTGAGGGGGGTTGGACTACAACACCTCCAAGGCCCCTTCCAACTCTATCATTCTGTATTCTGTGAGGGAGGGTTGGACTACAACACCTCCAAGGCCCCTTCCAACTCTATCATTCTGTATTCTGTGAGGGGGGTTGGACTACAACACCTCCAAGGCCCCTTCCAACTCTATCATTCTGTATTCTGTGAGGGAGGGTTGGACTAGAAGACCTCCAAGGCCCCTTCCAACTCTATCATTCTGTATTCTGACAGGGGAGGTTGGACTAGAAGACCTCCAAGGCCCCTTCCAACTCTATCATTCTGTATTCTGACAGGGGAGGTTGGACTAGAAGACCTCCAAGGCCCCTTCCAACTCTATCATTCTGTATTCTGTGAGGGAGGGGTTGGACTAGAAGACCTCCAAGGCCCCTTCCAACTCTTATCAGTCTGTATTCTGTGGGGAAGAGTTGGACTAGAAGACCTCCAAGGCCCCTTCCAACTCTATCGTTCTGTATTCTGTGAGGGAGGGTTGGACTAGAAGACCTCCAAGGCCCCTTCCAACTCTATCATTCTGTATTCTGTGAGGGAAGGGTTGGACTAGAAGACCTCCAAGGCCCCTTCCAACTCTATCATTCTGTATTCTGTGAGGGAGGGTTGGACTAGAAGACCTCCAAGGCCCCTTCCAACTCTTATCATTCTGTATTCTGTGAGGGAGGGTTGGACTAGAAGACCTTTAAGGTCCCTTCCAACTCTATCATTCTGTATTCTGTGAGGGAGGGGTTGGACTAGAAGACCTTCAAGGCCCCTTCCAACTCTATCATTCTGTATTCTGTGAGGGAGGGTTGGACTAGAAGACCTCCAAGGCCCCTTCCAACTCTATCATTCTGTATTCTGTGAGGGAGGGTTGGACTAGAAGACCTCCAAGGCCCCTTCCAACTCTTATCATTCTGTATTCTGTGAGGGGGGTTGGACTATAAGACCTCCAAGGCCCCTTCCAACTCTATCATTCTGTATTCTGTGAGGGAGGGTTGGACTAGAAGACCTCCAAGGCCCCTTCCAACTCTATCATTCTGTATTCTGTGAGGGAAGGGTTGGACTAGAAGACCTCCAAGGCCCCTTCCAACTCTATCATTCTGTATTCTGTGAGGGGGGTTGGACTATAAGACCTCCAAGGCCCCTTCCAACTCTGTAGTCTTATCAACTCCTTTTGGGGGTTTCTTTGGTCAGTTTAAAATCCAGGGCTTTAATCCGCCGTAACACCACAAGTCTGCTTCAACCAGAGAGCTTCAAGCTCTCCCTGAGGAGGGCCTGTCCACAAACGAGCAAAAGCCTAGAGAGGTAGACTTCTCCTGTCTACAGAGGATCCATTTTGCCTCAGGGAGAGCAATGTCCTCTGTGAATCAGCCATTCTGCCTTTCCACGGCTTCTGCCTCTCTTGAGAACGGACCTGCCCCGGTAGATAGAGGTTGTGGTGTTTTGCTAAGTGCTGTTGTTGACGGAGGAGTTGTGCGTGGCACTAACCACTCCACTCCCTTGTCCTTCCAACCGGGAAGCAGCTGCAAAATGGACTTGCCCTGAGCAGAGGTGAAATTAATCCCTACCCCCTCCCGTCGCTGAAATCCTTCACAACCAAGCCGGAAAACATTCCTTTCCTATTGTGTTGCCGCACACAACGAATGCCGAGTCACGTAAACACCTGGGGCTTGCACAACCTGAGGAAGAAAAATAGGAGTACAATGGTTTTCATTTGGATTGGTGGATTAGGATAGGACAGGATAGGACAGAACAGAAATGGAAATGGAAATGGAAATGGAAATGGAAATGGAAATGGAAATGGAATGGAATGGAATAGAATAGAATAGAAAATATGGAATAGAGTAGAATGGAATGGAAGAGAATAGAATAGAGTAGAATAGAATAGAATTCAGAATAGAATAGAATAGAATAGAATAGAATAGAATAGAATAGAATAGAATAGAATAGAATAGAAAATATGGAATACAGTAGGATAGAATGGAATGGAATAGAATAATATATAGAATGGAATATATAGAATAGAAAATGGAATGGAATAGAAATAGAATAGAATAGAAATAGAATAGAATAGAGAAAATAATATAGAATGTAGAGTAGAATAGAATAGAATTCAGAATAGAATAGAATAGAATAGAATAGAATAGAATAGAATAGAATAGAATAGAATAGAATAGAAAATATGGAATAGAGTAGAATAAGAATAGAATTCTCTCTGGGAGTCGAAGTCCACCAGGCTTAAAGCTTCGGTGGCTGGGGAATTCTGGGAGTTGAAGTCCATCCATATTAAAGCATGCAGGCTGGGGAATTCTGGGAACAAATGTCCACCCAACTTAAAGCACATTGGCTGGGGGATTCTGGGAGTTGAAGTCCGCCAGGCTTAAAGCACATTGGCTGGGGGATTCTAGGAGTTGAAGTCCCCCCATCTTAAAGCCTGCAGGCTGGGGGATTCTGGGAGTGGAAGTCCTCCAGATTTAAAGTTGCCAAGGTTTGTCAGGTTGGGGCAGGTCGAGGAATAAGATCACATTTTGAAGAGGGGGAACCCACAATCCGGGATTGCGTGAAGCAAATGGCGGCATGTCAGAAAGTCCCCACCCGTATCAAAGCAGGTCAAGGAGAAATGGCCTTTTACGCCACTCGGAAGGCCTCGCCCAGCGAAATGACGCCAGCAACCCCACGCAAACAGCCGGGGCGTGACCCACAAGTGTGCCAAGAGCCTCCAGGGCAAGGCAGAGGCTACCGGGGAACTAGGTCACCGAGTGTGTGGAAAGGGCATTCTGGAACACGGGAACCTTTTGCCTCCAAAGCGCCCGATGGCTGGGGGAGCCCTCTGAACGTGCGCAGAGGGCTACCCCACCTCCCCCCGTCGCCGGGGTATCCCTGGGAGGGGAAGGTGAACTCAAGGGGGAGAGGCTGATAAGATTATTTTAAAAGGATCCCGTGTTCCTTCGGGCCTCCCAGCCCTTCTTGCAAAAGTGAATTTCTCTCAGTTGAACAACAGGGGAAATATTTATCCCTCAGCCATAAGGCAGCAGTATAATTTTGGTCCTTTCCTTCCTTCCTTCCTTCCTTCCTTCCTTCCTTCCTTCCTTCCTTCCTTCCTTCCTTCCTTCCTTCCTTCCTCCCTCCCTCCCTCCTCCCTTCCCTCCTCCCTCCTTCCCGCCCTCCCTCCCTTGTTCTCCTTTTCCTTCCTTCCTCCTCCTCCTCCTCTTCCTCTTCCTCCTCTTTTCTGCTCCTTCCCTTTCCTCTTCCTCTCTTTTCTCTTCTCCCTCCCTCCCTCCCTTCCTTCCCTCCTTTTTTTCCTCTTCCTCCCTCCCTCCCTGCTTCCCGCCCCCTCTCCCTTCTTTTTTCCTCTTCCTCCCTCCCTCCCTCCCTTCCCTCCCTTTTTTCCTCTTCCTCCCTCCCTCCCTGCTTCCCGCCCCCTCTCCCTTCTTTTTTCCTCTTCCTCCCTCCCTCCTTTCCTTCTTCTTTCTCCTTTTCCTTCCTTCCGCCTCTTCTTCCCCTTCCTCTTTTCTACTCCTTCCCTTTCCTCCTCTCCTTCCTTCCTCTCTCCCTCCCTCTTTTTTCCTCTTCCTTCCTCCCTCCCTCCTTCCCACCCTCCCTCCCTTCTTTTTCCCCTCCCTCCCTCCTTCTTCCTCCTTTTCCTTCCTTCCGCCTCCTCTTCCCCTTCCTCCTTTCTACTCCTTCCTTTTCCTCTTCCTGTCCCTCCCTGTCTTCTCTTTTCCTCTTCCTCCCTCCCTCCCTCCCTTCTTTCTTTCCTTCCTTCCTTCTCTTCCTCGCAGAAATTCCAGCCGGATCTCGCAGCCGGGAGCAGCGCCTCAACCGCCCCTTTCGTGCCCAATCTCAACACCATCACCACCAGCCACAATCTGCAGTGGATGGTGCAGCCTTCACTCATGGGCGCTTCTTCGGGACTCCCTCCTTTTCCCAGGCCCTATCGCTGCCCGCACTACGCAGCTGGCATCCGTCCTGGCGTCATTCGCACCACGGGCCCTGGCCTAGTACCCCGGAGGCGTCACTCAGAACACGTGAGTATCCAGAGAAAAAAAAAAAAGAAAAATGAATGTTTTATTTGTGTACACATATTTTTTTTTATATCATTCTTTTTATCGATAAAAATATTGTTATTTTTTTAAATAAATAACTTGTGACCTCATGGCAGAGACCTCACCCTTTAGAGTGGCCAGATTTGGGGAAACTCCCCCCCCCTCCTTACAGCCCCTTTCCTGGCACTTCGATTTGCACACTTGTGCCAAATCATTTTTAAAAAGGAAAAAAAGCCAGTCTGGAGAAAAAAAAAGTGAAAAAAAAAAAAAACCAGGACAAATTCTTCTGGATTTTTCCTGGTTGTTTTGCGCCTCCTGCTGGCCCTTAGGTGACATAACCATTCAACGACCCCCAAATCAACGGGGTGAACCAGGGATGAAATCCAGCAGGTTCTGGAGAACCGATAGCGGGAATTTTGAGCAGTTCGGAGAACCGGCAAATGCCACCTCTGGCTGGCCCCAGGGTGGGGTGGGAATGGAGATTTTGCAATATCCTTCCCCCAGGAGTGGGGTGGGAATTGGGATTTTGCAGTATCCTTCCCTTGGAGTGGGGTGGGAATGGAGATTTTGCAGTATCCTTTCCCCAGGAGTGGGGAGGGAATGGAGATTTTGCAGTATCCTTCCCCTGCCACGCCCACCAAGCCACACCCACAGAACCAGTAGCAAAAAAAATTAGATTTCACCACTGGGGTGAACCCACCATAACGGGAATAACAAGGTTTGGAAGGGTCCTTGGAGGTCATCTAGTCCAACCCCCTCCTCAGGCAGGAAGCCCTATACCATTTCAGACTAATGGCTGTCCAATCTATGGATCTATTATGCTTGCATCACTCTCATTTGGGCTCTATATTTGATGCGGCTCTCCCTTAAATTCAGGCTGTGCAGGCTGGGGCGTGGGGACAATGGGAGTTGTAGTCCAATCCTGAAAATTGGGGGAAATTATTAAAAATAAAAATTGCATTTATGGCCCGCTTTCTTATATATACCATCATCTTGGTTTGCGGTCTGGAAATTCAGTCTAGGATCAACCAGAGTTGGATTAAGAACGGTTTTGAAAAAATTGGGGTCTACCCCCCCCCAGAACAAGTACTCCTCAACTTACAACCGCACACACTTGGGATCAGATTTTGCGTTGCTAAGCAAGGCAGTTGTTAAGCGAGTCGCGCCCGATTTTATGACCATTTTTCGGCCACGGTTGTTAAGCAAATCACTCCCGCTGTTAAGTGAGCCGCTTGGAAAGGAGGTCACAAAAGGGGATCACGTGACCCCGGGATGCTACGACCGTCATAAATATGAACCAGTGGCCACGTGACTGAATTTCGATCACATAACCGTAGGGTATACTGCAGCAGTCAAAAAGTGAGAGGACCGGGCATAAATCACTTTTTCAGTGCCGTTCTAACATCGAACGGTCACTAAATGAATGAAAGTCGTAAGTTGAGGACTACCTGTATCTCGGTTTCCTGGAGGGGTGTGTGTCTGTTGCATGCAGGGTTTTGTGTTGTGCTGTTTGCATTGTGTAGTTGTGAACTCTGGACTCTCGTTTGCAGCTCACCCCGGAAGAGGAAGAGCGACGGCGTCTACGGCGGGAACGGAACAAATTGGCGGCCGCCAAATGCCGCAACCGGCGGAAAGAGCTGACCGACACGTTGCAAGCGGTGCGTTCAAAGACGATATTTAGACGACATTCACACAGCAGTCTGCAACAGGCCGGGTGGGGGTGGGGGTCAGACTGGATGACCGGAGGTTCCCTTCCAGGCCTTGCAGCCTGCGCTTACAAAGGATGGACAGGGGTTGTTCAAAGGAAGGGGTTTTGTTTTCATTTGGGGGATTTGGGAAGGGGGGGGGTTGGGCGAATCAGTTCCTGGGAGGCGGGGCAGGGGCAGGAGGGGGGGCTGGTATAATTCTGGTTTGCAGAACCAGCTTGCGAAACGGGTTCATTTGGTAACCAGGTTTATCAGGACAGGCAAAAATGAGCAGTAGTAGTATTCTATTCTATTCATTTTACTATTCTATTCTATTCTATTCTATTCTATTCTATTCTATTCTATTCTATATCCTAATCCTATTCTATTTTATTCTATTCATTTTACTATTCTATTCTATTCTAATTTTATTCTATTTATTTTATTATTCTATTCATTTTACTATTCTATTCTATCCTATCCTATCCTATCTCCTAATCCTATTCTATTTTATTCATTTTTCTATTTTATTCATTTTACTATTCTATTCTATCCTATCCTGTATCCTAATCCTATTCTATTCTATTCATTTTACTATTCTATCCTATCCTATCCTATCTTATATCCTATTCTATTTTATTCTATTCATTTTACTATTCTAGTCTAATTTTATTCTATTTATTTTATTATTCTATTCATTTTACTATTCTATTCTATCCTATCCTATCCTATCTCCTAATCCTATTCTATTTTATTCATTTTTCTATTTTATTCATTTTACTATTCTATTCTATCCTATCCTGTATCCTAATCCTATTCTATTCTATTCATTTTACTATTCTATTCTATCCTATCCTATCTTATATCCTATTTATTTTATTCTATTCATTTTACTATTTTATTCATTTTACTATTCTATTCTATCCTATATTCTAATCCTATTCTATTTTATTCTATTAATTTTACTATTTTATTCATTTTACTATTCTATTCTATTCTATTCTATTCTATTCTATTCTATTCTATTCTATTCTATTCTATTCTATTCTATTCTAATTTTATTCTATTCATTTTACTATTCTATTCTATTCTATCCTATCCTATATCCTAATCCTATTCTATTCATTTTACTATTTTATTCATTTTACTATTCTATTCTATTCTATATCCTAATCCTATCCTATTCATTTTACTATTGTATTGTGTGTATTCTTATTCATCGTTAACTTCGAACGGTTACTCCATGCACTGTTGTACGTCCAAGAGTTACACGTACATCCCGATCCAACGATTATCCGCTCGATTTTTTTTTTTTAAAAAAAATCTCTTAGCAAGTTAGTCTCCCCCCCCCCCCCCCCCCAAAAAGTCAGAAGAATCGAATCTCCTTCCAGGATTCCAATCTAATTTCTCTTTCTCCCCCTCTTCCCTTCCTTTTTTTTTTTTTTTATTCCTCCCCATCGCCAGGAGACGGACCAGTTGGAAGCCGAGCAGTCGGGTCTCCGGAAGGAAATTGCCGAATTGCAAAAACAGAAGGACCGTTTGGAATTAGTTCTGGAAGCCCACCGTCCCGTCTGCAAAATCCTGGAAGAATCATCCGGAGATGAGGATGGAGGCTACCGCCGGCCAGCTGCCCCCTCCCAACCGCCGGATAAAGAGGAGACTCCTCCGGGGCCCCAGCGTGGCTCTCGCCGGACGGCCCCGGTGCCCCCTAGCATCACCCTGCCTCCCAGCGGCCTGCTGGAGCCCGAATCCCTCCATACTCCTACTCTCATGTCAACCCCGTCTTTCACCCCCTTCACTCCTAGCCTGGTCTTCACCTACCCAGCGCCGGGGGACCCCGACGGGCCCTCGGGGTCCGGTTTTCCCTCGGAGCCCTGCTCCTCCGCCCACCGAAGAAGCAGCAGTGGGGACCACTCCTCGGATTCCCTCAATTCCCCAACTTTGCTGGCACTTTGAGGAAACGACTTCGGTTGGCCTATCTCGAATCTTGTCCCCGTTTTTTTGGGGGGGGGGGTGTCAGAGGATTAACCCTTCCTTCCTGGCGCCTTTGGCTATAACCCGATTCCCTTTGGCCTCACTTTTGTGACCAGCCATAGTTACAGGACTCCCGCTTTCCCCCATCCTGATGCAGGCGTCAAGTTTCTAGTCCTTCAAGAGCAGCCAGGAGATTCTTTTCTGTGATCTGGAGAACCCGAATTCCAAGCAGGGTTATGATCTTTCGCGAAACACTAAAATATCTCTCACGCACGCCTCTTGTCCTTTGCCCTCGTGTTTTATAAGGGCCAAGTGGCTAGTCCTCAAGACTGACTTAACAAGTCTTTTTTTTTTTTCCTTTTCTTTTTCTTTTTTTTGACATCCTCCTTTCTGGAAAACAAGCACGTTCAAGAAACAAAAAAAAAAAGGCACTGTTTTAAAGTCATGTATCGCTTTTTATCTGCCGGATTTTTGAAACCGAGACGAGAAATTTAAGACAAATATAGATTTATTTTTCTACGATGACCTACAGCCGCCGGGATGACGTGGGACATATATTGTCCAGAACTGAAGCTGGTTTGGATGGATATACTATATATTATTATAAACATACGAGTTTTCCTTTTTATTTTTTTTTTCCCTGATGCCTCATGAAAGTTACATTACAAGGGATGTTTTTGGACAAAGTTGTGCTGTTTTTGTGCCGTTTTTAGACGCTGCTGGTCGTTGGTCGCTTGTGCAAAAAAAGAGGAATTGATACAAAAATACATATTGTCATTTTTTGTGTCTTCAAACCTCATAGGAATTAATTTGAGTTTAGTGGGACATTTAAATATAAATAAAGAACGGCAAGCACAGAAAAGCTGTACCATGTGAGATCGGCAAGGGGTAGATTTATCTATTTGTATTCTGTAAACTTTTGTATTTTTCTTTTTTTTTAAACATGTTGAATAATAAGCTTAATAAGAAACCTGCAGGACTTCAGTGTTGGAAATATGTTGTTTTAGATGGGTTGGGTATTTTCCCCCCCTTCTTTTGGCTTACTTTTTCTTGAAAATAAACCAAATATTGCTGCTAGACCTCATGAACTCTGTTGGTTTGGCCAGGAATACGATCTTCAGCGTAGGACAATGGTTGTTGACGAAGCTTGGAAAATGAGCGGAAAGACGTAAAGAATTGCGTCTAATAATGGTAGTTTTCAACTTACGACCGCAATCTCCATGGCTAAGCAAGGCAGCGGTTAAGTAAATCACGCCCGATTTTAAGATCTGGTTGCTAAGTGAATTGCTGCCGTTGCTAAATGAATCATGCGGTCGTTGAGCAAATCCAGATTCCCTGTTGATTTCGCCGGTGAGAAACCAGCTGGAAAATGAATTGAACTATTATTTGGCCAATTCGACACACGAGAAATTGGACGACACTCCTATGACTCTGGAAACGCTGCAGCCGTCATAAATACACGCCAATTGCGCCAAGCTCCTGAATTCAGATCACGCGACTACTGGGACCTTGCCACAGTCGTTAAATGCGAGGACCAGTCCACCGGTCCCTTTTTTTCCAGTGCCGTCGTAGCTTCAAAGATTTGCTGAACGGGATGGCTGCCAACCGAGGACTACCTGATTAACCACAAAGTCCAATTTTGCCTCTGCCGATTTCGCCTAAAACCTCATGAGGACTAGCTTCCCCTCAGAGCCGACGGCCATAAATTAGCAACACTTTTAATGCCAAACCAGGCTAAGCAACTTTGGGTACTTCCGTAACCCGTTCCAGCCACACTTCCCGAAGCTGTAAAAGGAGATTTCAAACTTACCTTGGACCGGAGAAGCAAAAAAAAAAAAAAAAAAAAAATAGAGTATATCTTTTTCCAAGGAAAATCACAGCCGGGAACCAACGCCGTAATAATCCCAACTGAGTTGAAAACTTTTGTTTACAGCCGAGGTTAAGTTCCAGCGTTGCCGAAAAATACGTTTCCCATCTCTTTCACGCCTTTTTTTTTCCTGTGTGTGTTGGCAGGCCTCCTCCTCCTTTTTTTTAAAAAAAAAAATCTGTGCAAGCAACTTTGGGAGAAAATGTTTATTTGGAAAACTGGGACGAATTAAAAACAAACACTATTGCAGCAGGAGAGTTTGTGTGTTTTGTGTTTGTGTGTGAGCGTTTTTTAGCCCAGGGTGATTTCAGCGAGAGGGTGGATTTCTTGGGGGGGGCAGCCAAGGAAACAAAAGTAAATTGATGGATAAAAGCCAAACATTCCCCGATTTTGGCCTTATACACACAACCAGTTTTCCCTCCTGAGTAGGTAGAAAATGTGAGTTATTCATATTTGGGGCGAGGATCCAACCCGTTGCCAATAATTTTATCGTTCGTGTGTTGTTTTACAAAGCCAATAAAGGATGATTTTGATTAACAGGTTGTGTGAATGCAGACTTTCACAGGTCAAGGGAAAAAAACAAAACCCACAAAATACACTTTTTTGCTGCATTGAATCTGCCTCCCTCCTTTGTCCAAGTCAGATTAACGGTTTTCATTTTTGATTTAGCAACGTCAAAAAGTCTCCAAAGGCAGACCGAGGGATCCTCTCCATCCGGTCACGTTGACGGTAAAAGGTTTCCTTTATCAGAAACCAGGATCCGGCCACCTGCTTCCTGGCTCGGAGACCCTTTGTCTCCAATCCAAGGCTGGGCAGGAAGTGTCAGAAAAGGCCGGTTTGTGACCCCCATTCGGTTGTGATTTTTGCAAACAGCCGTGGTTCCTGCTCTTGCAATCCTCCAGAGAAACCCCCCCCCCATATGCTAAACAACACATCTTAAGAGCTGGACCAAAAACGGATTTTGAACAAACCAGGATTGTTGGCCTAACTTGGGGTGATGTGTCGTTTGTGTGAGGTTCTTCAGGTTGCTGGCTGCTTCCCACCCGCTCGTAAACCCTGTTGTGTTCACTAAATAGGTGGTGCCCAAACCGAACCCAATTTTGATTCGTTCAGGCTAAATAAAAGGGACCTAAGAGGTCATCTAGCTCAACCCCCCTGCCCATTCGCAAGGATCTTCCGTTCCAGTGGCAGCCAGCAATTCTCCCATGTTCACTGGGGGAAAGAGACCCTGGTCCCACCAGGAGTTTGGCCCCATGCCACCTGAAATCAACTTCCCTTACAATTTCGTACTATTGAACAGCACATCTGTATACCTTGGCAGCTTTGAAGATGGGTGGACTTCAACTCCCAGAATTCCCCAGCCAGCTGATGATGAGTGACCTTGTTTTTCCTTTATCCAACAGAAGAAAAAGTCCTGGGAAAAAAAAATCCCATTCGGTTTGGAAATCCCCTTCCCATGAGGTCCAACTTCCATCCGCTTCTGCTGGCTAAGGGAATTCTGGAAGTTTGAAGTCAAGTCTTAAAACTTAAAAGAAGAACATAGTCCGAAGAAGTAGTGCAAGATCAGAAGATTGGGGGGGGGGGAACCTGGCCCATAGAATTGCCAGTTGGACACGACTGAACGGATAACGCATCTTCTTCTTCCTCGTCGTAAATCTGCCAAGGTTGGACACGCGTGGTACACCCCTGCTTAAGCAGGGGGTTGGATTAAATGACCTCCAAGGTCCCTTCCAACCTTGTCCTTCTCTTCTTCCTGCTGTACAGAATAGAATACAGAATAACAGAGTGGGAAGGGACCTTTGGAGGTCTTCTAGTCCAACCCCCTGCTTAGGCAGGAAGCCCTACACCACTTCAGACAAATGGTTATCCAACCTCTTCTTTAAAAACTTCCAGTGTTGGAGCATTCACAACTTCTGGAGGCAAGTTGTTCCACTGATTAATTGTTCTCACTGTCAGGAAATTTCTCCTTAGTTCTAGGTTGCTTCTCTCCTTGATTAGTTTCCACCCATTGCTTCTTGTCCTGCCCTCAGGTGCATTGGAGAATAGCTTGACTCCCTCTTCTTGGGGCAGCCCCTCAAATATTGGAAGATGCTATCATGCCTCCCCTAGTCCTTCTTTTCATCAAACTAGACACACCCAGTTCCTGCAACCGTTCTTTATATGTTTTATTCTCCCGTCCCCTAATCCTCTTGGTTGCTCTTCTCTGCACTCTTTCTAGAGTCTCAACATCTTTTTTATAGTGTGGTGACCAAAAGTGGATGCAAGTACGGTCTTCCCAAGGCATTATAAAGAGATATTAAACACTTCTCGTCATCCTGATTCTGTCCCTCGGTTGATGCCGCCTAGGATTGTGTTGGCTTTTTTGGCAGCGCCTGCACACGGCTGGCTCATACCGAGGACTCCAAAACCCATCTCAAAGTTACTGCTGTTGAGCCAGGTACCACCTCCTATACCAGTGATGGCGAATCTTTTTGGTATCGAGTGCCCATGCACATGCCTGTTTTTCGGCCCAAAAAACGGCCCCGGAAAATGGCCCCAAAAATGGCCTGAAAATGATCCGAAAACAGTGTGAAAATGGCCTGAAAAACAGCCTGGGAAAACAGGCCAAAAACCAGCCAAAACCAGCCCCCCAAAAATGGCCTGAAAATGCACAAAAAAATGGCCTGCAAATGAAAAATGGCGGGAAAACAACCTGAAAAATGGCCTGGGAAAACGGCCCCCAAAACAGCCCCAAAAATGGCCTGAAAACGCCCCCCAAAAACAGCCCAAAACAGCTCAAAAATGGCTCTTTGGGCAAATGGCCAAAACATGGCCTGAAAATGGCCTGAAAAACAGCATGAAAACAGCCCAAAAAATGGCCTGGAAACGCACAAAAAAATGGCCTCAAATGAAAAATGGCGGGAAAACAACCTGAAAAATGGCCTGGGAAAACGGCCCCAAAAAACAGCCCCAAAATGGCTGTTTGGGCAAATGGCCAAAACATGGCCTGAAAATGGCCCACAAATGGCCTGCAAGTGGCCTGAAAAACGGCATGAAAACAGCCAAAAAAATGGCGTGAAAACGGCCCAAAAAACAGCCAAAACCGGCCCAAAAATGGCCTGAAAACATCCCAAAAATGACCTGCATTTTTGGGATGTTTTCCCAAAAATGTTGTTTTTTTTGGGCAACGGCCAAAAAAACAGCCAAAAACGGCTCAAAAAAACAACGTGAAAACATCCCGGAAAACATCCCAAAAAAACAGCCAAAAACATCCCAAAAACAGCCAAAAACAGCCCAAAAAAGGCCTGAAAACGGCCCCAAAACAGCCTGAAAATGGCCCGGAAAATTATCTTTTTTTTGGCTCTTTTTGGCCGTTTTTTGGGCAGTTTTCAGACCATTTTCTGGCACCCAGAAAGCCAGCTGGCGACGGCGTGTGTGCCCACAAGATCTCTGCGTGCCACCTCTGGCACGCATGCCATAAGTTCGCCATCACGGTCCTATGCCATACCTGTGTATTATGGTTTTTCTCGTCTAAACACCTCATCAAGAACGATTCCCCCATTATCTCCGTCCAGGGGAAATAACGCAAATCCACCCACACAGAAATTCTCCCTTCCAAAGTTGTCGTTTTTAACAGATTTATTAACATTCTTGCTTTCAAGAGGAAAGAACCCCCAAAACCTTTGTTTTTTTTCCCAAAAGATTAAGAGGCCCCTTTTCCCCTTTGTCCTGCTCGGGATTCCAGGCGTTATCAATTTAACCAGATGTTATTTCCTCTTTAAAAAAAAAAAAAAAAACACAAAAAAATTCTTGCCACCCAGCTTCGTTCAGGGCTTGGGGGGAAAAAATAATTGGCGTTACAACAAGAGAGTAATCAGGATTTTTGGGAAAGGGCCGTTCTTTGGCTGGCAACCAGTCCTATGATTTAATTTCGGTTTAAAAAAGAAGAAAAAAGCCAGGCCTCTTTCAAAGACACAAGCGCTCTCCAATTACAGGTAGTCCTCGACTTGCAACGGTTGTGTTTAGTGACCGTTCGAAGTTACAATGGCACTGAAAAAAGTGACTGACAACCGTTGTTTTCACACTTATGACCATTGCTGCATTCCCCCGTGGTCACGGGGTCAAAACTCCGACGCTTGGCAATTCGACTCATATTTATGACGGGGGTCAGGGTCTCGTGACCCTGCAAAGTCACGAGGGAAGCCAGATTCGCTTTTAACGACCGTGGGACTGACTTAATCACCGCAGAGATTCATTTAACAAGCGTGGCAACAAAAGGTCGTAAAATGGGATTAAAACACCCTTAACACGTCTCTCATTTAGCAACAGAAATGCCGGGCTCAAATGTAGTTGTAAGTCGAGGAATACCTGTCGCTGGCACTTTCCCTGTTTTTCACCCCCAAGCACAATCCTCCAGCCCTTCCCTTCATCCTCTCACCCAGCATCTGCATCCAGAATAATAAACCCCACCCAAAATCTGCACTAAAAAAAGTTCCATTTTGGCACACCCGACACAACCAAGTGGCAAGGAGTTCCTCCGACCACCTTCCTTTAAAGCTCCACCTTTGGGGAATCCAAAGCTGGATATTTTTTTTTTTATTTTGAAATATTGCTCATCAGAAAGAGAAGAAAAAAAAATGGGGACCCTCCCCTGCATATATATATATATATTCTATCGAAATTCAAAGCCCCCCCCCTCCCTTAAGTTTCTCTGGGTAGAAGGGGAACAAGATTTAAAACACTAGCAGAACTTCGAAAAGTGCAGCGATCCATTTCGCGGCCTGCAAAAACTCGGTTTAAGAGCAAAAAGCCAACATTGCGCGCCCAAATTCTTAAAACTGGGGGTGTATCTTTGACTCCAAAAAGGCACCCATAAATTCCCCATTTTCCCCACCCCCGTTTGAAGTTCAAACCTTGGCATTGTTACGAAGAAACTGGCTCAAAGCTTTACGCCAGGGAATAAATTTTGAAATAGTTTTGGCAAATTTTTGTACGGGAACCCAGTGGATGGATAAGTGAAGCCTATCCTTCCACGCAGAACCATGCACCCTAAATTTTGCACCTCCTGCCCTCCAGCTGTGTTCAAATCCTGCCATGCAGTTGCTTGTCATTCAAGACGGCTGCAGTTCTTTTTATCATATTTTGCACCCAAGGGTTTAACTTTTCCGTAGCTTAACCTGTCAGGTTGTTTTATATAGTATGTAACCCATCGTAATCCCCCAAAAATATTCCGAACGAAGGTTTTTATGCAGTCGCCTTTAAAAGTCCTTTCTGAAGTCCTCCGTGGATCTCTTTGCGTGATTCTCCCCCGGGGATCCATTCTTGCAGGAATTAAAACGGGGAGTCAAAAACAGTGGGGAGAATATCCCAAGGAATCGGAAACCCCTTTCTACCCGTTCCACCCCAAAAAATCCTGTCCAAATTCAGGCTATAACTACATTTGTGAATGCGCCAGTTCCGGACGGCGAGAATAAAACGACAAAATGGTGATTCCTTTCCTTGCAAAGTTCGCCCCATCCAAATTTGCAAATTTGTCCATGGGATTTCTAGCTCCTGCAGGGAAAACCAGAGCGCAGGCAGATTTCTCCTCCTTAATTTCGCCTTTCTCCCAACAACTGCCCTGCGGGGTAGACCATCCGGAGGAAAAATGCAGAGAATTTCCAATCTGGATGGAAGAAGTCGTAAAAGAAGAGCAAAAAAAATATCACGATCCCAAACGGCTGTGTTTCCATCCACCCGGTAGGCCAAGTTAAGCCAAGAGGCGCCTTTCACAAAGACTCCTGTGAGACCCCCCCCCAAAAAAACCCTCACTACTCTCATTCAAGGGGGATTTAAGCCACAAAAATTCCTCACTAGATTAGCGAACGACGTCAGGTTTTCTTCTCCGACCTGATGCAAGGATCCTGCTTTTTTTTTTCCCCATCCAGCCGCCTTTCAAAGGAGCCTTTCCCGGTGCTTGGCCTACCCAATAATCCGAGCGTGCGTGGCGGGTTCGAATGATCCCCCCTTTGGGGTGGGTGGGTGTGGAAAAAAAACCCCAGAAACGGTGGAGGAAGTAAACCAGCTTGGGCCCCCCAAACGGCCTTATTATGATTATTATGATTATTATGATTACGACGACGCCTTCTCCATTAAAAAAAAGAAAAAAAGAAAAATCCCCTCGCCGAGGAGTCCTGTGCGGTCCCGAAAGCTGGCTCCGTTCGGCCAGCAGCCGAAACTTGGCATCGTGGTCCTTACCCATATATGGGTGGCCTAGAGTTGGCGCTCCTGCCTGGCAATCAGGAGGTTGTGGCGTTCCATCCTAAGTAGAGGCAGACACTTGGGCAAGGGAGGCGGGTTCGACTAGATGACCCCACGAGGTCCCTTCCTGTTAATCTTATATCTGGGAAGGAAGGTGGTGGGGGGGAAGGAGCGGATGGTGGCTCTCCCTCCTTCCTTCCTTCTTGCCTTCCTTCCTTCCTTTCCATCCATCCATCCATCCCTGGGAGGGGTCCTTCTTCCCACGCTCCAGGCTGCCATCCGTCCGGTGAAGCAGCAGCAGCTTTCATTCATCGGGAGAGCAAGCCGGGTGAGGCTGATCCGGGCTGCCCACGCTGCCCGTGCTGGAGCTGCCGTCCCCCAGATCGCGAGGTCCGCAAGGCAAGCTGAGTTCCGACGACCCACCTCCGGGGCTCGGGCTGGCATCCGGGCGGGCAGCGGTGGCGGCAGCCGCGGCGGCGCAATCCTCCAGGGCCAAGCAGAGCTCTTTCAGCTCCAGGTTGTCCTGCGCCAGCCTTTCCTGCAAGCCTTCCAAGCCGGCTAACTTGCGCAGGCAACCGGCCACCTCGTCGCGCAACACCTGCGCCGCGTGGTGCCCGAAGAGCTGCCAGTGGCGCGCAAGCCGCTTGGCTTTCAGCCGATCTTCGTCCAAGAAGCAGCAGAGGTCGCGCAGCTCGCGGTTCTCGGCTTGCAGCCGCCCGTTGACGGCTTTCAGCTCGCGGATCTCGCGCAGGTGCTCCTGGAGCTGCCGGTTCACGCCTTGGATCAGCCGCCCCCGTTGCACCAGAGCCGCCAGCTTCTCGCTTTCTTCCCGGCGCAAGCGGCGCACCAGCTCTTCCTTGCTGCAACCGGACAGGTCCGGTTCGCCCGACGGGGCATCGGATGCCGGAGGAGGAAGAGGAGGAGGAGGATCGGGTGCATCGGGAGCATCAGCAGCATCAGCCGGAGGGCTGGTAGGGAGGCCGACGGCCGGGAACATCGCGGGTTCAATTCCGGCTGGTGCAAAACGGTGGCGGGTGCAACCGGTTAACCCGCCGCGGGGCCGGCATCTTTCCAAAGCTGGAAGCCGGGAGGAGCCAGCCGAGCTTGCATCTCGGCCCTCCTCCGGGAGAAAACGACGGAGGGGAGGTTGGGGAAAAGCTGCGCCTCCGCCCGGCCCCAGAAGCAGGTGCAGAGAAGGGAGAAGGGCGCCTGCGCGGAGAAAAGAAGGGGAGGGGAGGGGAAGGATGCAAAAAAAAGAAAAAGAAAAAGAAAAAAAAATAGGGGGTGGGTGGGTGGAAGTGGGAGAGGCCGGGGGGAGCGCGCGCGTGCATGCATGCATAGGAATGGGCGGTTGGAATTAAAAGCAGCAGCTTTTTTTTTTTGCAAGCTGGGTGGGGGTAAAAAAAATTGGGGAGTGGGTGGGAGGGAAACGGAGCCGCCTTGCAACCTTTCCCCCCCCCTCGCATGCAATCCATATCGAGGGTCCTCCTGCACCCACCCACCCGCTCTGGGGGTCTGGAATCCCTCCCTTCCCCGGGCAGCCTTTCTGCAAAGGGGGGTTGCTTGCCATCCGCGGTGGTTTCCGCGCAGAGATGCGGGATTGGGGTTAGTTAGGGGGTTGGGGGTGGGTGGGTGAGTGGGAAACTGAGCTGGCTTGCAACCCCTTGCATGGATTAAGGGGGCTTCTCCTGCACCCCACCCATTCTGGGGGGGGATCTGGGACCCACGACCCCCCTGTGGGCAGCCTTCTGCAGCTTGGGAAGGGGAGCGCGGGGGTATGCAAAAGCCGGGGGAAGAGGGGTGTCTAAGCTGGGGGAAATTGAGGAGTGGGTGGGTGGGTGGAGGGAGGGAAACGGAGCGAGCTTGCAAACCCCTTTCCCCCCGAGTTACAATCCGGATTGGGGCTTCTCCTGCTCCCACCCACTCACCCACCCACTGGGGGGGGGGTCTGCAGCTTGGCAAAACCGACCCCCGCAGTGGTTTCCTTGGGGTTAGGGGGGCGTGGGTGGGTGGGAAACAGAGCTGTCTTGCAATCTTTCCCCCCACACACACACACTGCAATCCGGATTATTAGGACGGGGGTCTCCTCTACCCACCCACCCACCCACCCACTCTGGGGGTCTGGGACTCCCACCCCCCTTGGCAGCCTTCTGCAGCTTGGCAAGCGGATTCCATCCGCCCGCCTCCCCAAAGTGGTTTCCGGGCATGGATTTATTTATTTATTTATTTATTTTATTTTATTTTATTTTATTTTATTTTATTATTTATTTATTTATTTTTTTATTTATTTTTTTATTTATTTTTTTATTTATTTTTTTATTTATTTTTTTATTTATTTTTTTATTTATTTATTTATTTATTTTTAATTTGATTTATATGCCGCCCTTCTCCAGAGACTCGGGGCGGCTTACAATGCGCTCAGCAATAGCCTTCATACTTTTGTATATTTATACAAAGTCAGCTTATTGCCCCCACAATCTGGGTCCTCGTTTCACCTACCTTTGAAAGGATGGAAGGCTGAGTCAACCTTGATTGATTGATTTTTTATTTACATTTGTAATACATTTATTCCATGTATTTATATGCCGCCCTTCTCCAGAAGGACTCAAGTTAAAAACAGGTACAACAAAATCCCATTTTAAACCAAATGAACTAATAAATAATCAATAATAAAACCCAGAATCAGAGTCAGCCTATTGGCTCGAACAGCCAAGTCTTCAGGTCCCGACGGAAGGAGCGGAGATCGGGAGCCGTCCTGAACTCGGTAGGCAACTCATTCCAGAGGGTGGGAGCACCCACAGAGAACGCCCTACCCATGGGCGCCACCAGACGACATTGGCATGGGATTTAGGGAGTTGGGGCAGGGGGGCGTGGGTGGGTGGGGGAAACGGAGCTGGTTTGCTCCCTTTCCCCCCGCTTGCAATCCAGATTAAGGGTTCTCCTGCACCCACCCACCCACTCTGGGGGTCTGGCAGTCTTCTGCAGCTTGGCATGACCCTGGCAAGCAGATTCCATCCACCCCCACTCCCCTGCCGTGATTTCCAGGGTTGTGGCAGGGGGCATGGGGATGGGAATAGAGTGGGGGTCCCGGTAGGGTCTGGTGTAGGACACTTGAAGGATGGGAGATGGGTGGTTTGGAGGAGTTGGTGCCAAAGGACGATCTGAGGGGTTGAATTTGGTTAGGACTAGTGTGCTGGTTAGAGTAAATCGTTAGTTTAGGAATTAAGAGTTGTTGTTGGTTGCGAAGTCGTGTCCGACCCATCGGGACCCCATGGACAACCTTCCTCCAGGCCTTCCTGTCCTCTACCATCCTCCGGAGTCCATTTAAGATCACGCCGACAGCTTCAGTGACTCCATCCAGCCACCTCCTTCTCTGCCGTCCCCTTCTTCTCCTTTTGCCCTCCATCATTCCCAGCATTGGGCTCTTCTCCAGGGAGTCCTTCCTTCCTTCTCATTAGGTGGCCAAAGGATTTGAGTTTCCTCTTCAGGATCTGGCCTTCTAGAGAGCAGTCAGGGTTGATCTCCTCTAGGACCGACCGGTTGGATCATCTTGCAGTCCAAGGGACTCGCAGGAGTCTTCTCCAGCACCAGAGTTCAAAGGCCTCCATCCTTTGGCCTTCTCAGCCTTCCTTGTGGTCCAACTTTCCTAGCCATCCATTGCAACTGGGATTAAGGAATTAAGAGCTATCCCTTTAAGAGATTGCTTCCTGGGAAATGTAGTTTTACATCACCTGGTCACCTCTTGTGTTTCTGATTGGCTGCCGGGCGAGTGGGGGAGGAGCAAAACGTGCTATAATCTCGTTTTTCACCTACTGAATTGGGAATAGATTCGTGCACCCCGGAAGACTCTCTTCGACGACTGTTGAGTTATTGTTTGGAGATTGCCTGATGAATGAAGAAAAATCTGCATTATACTTTTTTTTCCGTGGAGTTTGTTGCTTGCAACAGGAACGGGGAAAACGAGGAGTGTTTGCATGTTTTTTTCTCTTTTTGCACAAAATAAGAATTAACGGAGAGAATAGATTTTGCAGGATATGCATGAGTAAGCCAAGCTCCTACAGGACGCATTTGCACTGGAAAGTTACTATCGAGCTGTTTCTTTGGCTCTTGCTTGAAAAAAAAAAAAAAAATTGGGCAAAAGCCTTAGAGTTTGCAAGGCACCCACAGTCCAAGTTGGGACCCCAATCCCGGGGAGAAGCCCATTAAGGGACCCCAAAATTGGACAGCCAGCTCTGCAATCCTCATCAAAGGGAAACCTACTCCAAGTGTTAGTCTTGGCTGCAGCGCCCTCTGGTGACTAATCTGCAAGCAACAGGCTCCATATTCAATCAACCCACACACAGTGCACCCCTAGTGGTTATAGAGTGAATTGCACCGACGTCTACAGCTGTGATGGCGAACCTATGGCACACGTGCCACAGGTGGCCCATGGAGCCATATCTGTGGGCACATGAGCGTTGCTCTAGCTCAGCTCCAGCGTGCATGGGCACGCCAGCCAGCTGATTTTCGGGCCTCTCGGGCCCACCGGAAGTTGGGAAACGGGCCATTTCCGGCCTCCGAGGGGTGGTGGTGGAGGCTGTTTTTGCCCTTCCCAGGCTCCAAGAAAGCCTCTGGAGTCTGGGGAAGGTGAAAAATGGGCTTTCGGGGCCCACCGGTAACCCTTTTGCCTGTCTCGATGAGTTCAGGACGCAAAAGCCTATCATTCGAAAACTACCATGCGACTCATTGTAGAATGGGTTGAGTTATCTGCTGCTGTTGTGGCCGTCAGCGGCCTGTGCAGATAGTAGCTGATTCCGACAGCGAGGAGGCTGGTGTGATGTGCCAGCAGCCTGTGCAGCTGGCACCCGAGTCAGACAATGAGGAGGCTGGAGAAGAGGTGGTGCCAGAGGCGGGAATTCAGCCGGGGCCTTCAGAACCTCCAGAAGTTCCCATAAGTGAAGAGGACGAAGAGGAGGAGCCTCTTCTTGATGCACGGGCGCGCAGAGCTGCCAAAAGGCAGGAGTGGCTCCTCAGGAGGAGGTCTCCTCAGAGTAAGGCTTGGAGCTAATTGGCCACTCCCCTAGCCTATTTAAGGAAGGATGACGACTGAGGCAATTTGCAGGAAACAACTTCGTTCATATTCCTTCATGTCTTGATTCCAGAAACGTTTGATTCGGCTCTTGTTTCTCTCTTGTCAGTTTTCCTGCAAATTGCTTCTGGGCATTCTGCCAACCACAGTAAGATTACTGTGCTTCAGAACTGAGTTATTCTTTGGATTCCTGTCGGCTGTTAATGAAGTTAAATTAAGAGCCCTTGTTCAGAAAAGACTGATTTAAACTAAACACAACTAAACTAAACACAAATTAAATTGTGTTGCTGGTCATTTAAACCTTATGGGAGGGGCCAGTCATCTCTTGGCCTTACTCCCGAGTTGTCCTCTCTGCTTTAGGTGCTCCTGCCTTCTGGCAGCTCTTTTCATACGTGCACTAGGAACAGGCTCCTCCTGTTCCTCTGCCTCTCTGTTGTCAGCCTCTGGAGGCTCCAAAGTCCGCATATCACTCCTCAATGGCCCTGGCCCCATCTCTGCCTCCGACGCAGAGCCCTCATCCGGGCCTTCCCCAGCCTCCAGGACTGGCCCCTGTTCTTCCTCAGCCTCATCGCTGTCCGACTCCGCTGCCAGCTCCACAGGCTGCTGGCGGACCACAACAGGGCCGTGTGAACTCTGGCAATGGGTTCAGGAAGGATGCCCGCCTTTGTCTGGCTCCCGGAAAAGTAATTTCCTTTGCATTTGTGGGAAACTGGCTCTGAATCATTGGTGGCACTTTTAGCTGGCTCTCACACATCCTGCCTGGCGGCAACTTTTGCGTTAAGTGAGCATTGTCTGAGTTTGCAGGATAACATCCCACATCTTGGATTTCTTAAAATCCAAGGGTTGGATTTTACATCACAAACCAGGTTTAAGCTTGATGGGCGAGTCGTCCGTTGGAAATAAATTTCCCCTTAAATCCAATTTTCTATGGGTCAGTTTGGAGGGGATAAATCGAATTCTTCTTTAGGATTGATTTGTCAAATGCTATTCCCCCATACCTCCAAAAAAATATTTAAAAGCCAAACTAAAAAAAATATTTAAAAGCTAAACTGAAAAAAGATTTAAAAGCTAAACTAAAAAAAGATTTAAAAGCCAAACTAAAAAAATATTTAAAAGCTAAACTGAAAAAAGATTTAAAAGCCA